GAGCTAGATTCCATCTCAAGAAAAAAAAAAACAACCTATAAATAAGGCCAGGTGCGGTGGCTCATGCCTGTAATCCCAGCACTTTGGGAGGCCAAGGCGGGTGGATCACGAGGTCAAGAGATGGAGATCATTCTGGCCAACATGGTGAAACCCTGTCTCTACTAAAAATACAAAAATTAGCTGGGCGTGGTGTGTGCCTGTAGTCCCAGCTATTTGGGAGGCTGAGGCAGGAGAATTGCTTGAACTTGGGAGGCAGAGGTTGCAGTGAGCTGAGATCACACTGTTACACTCCATACACTACAACCTGGCAGCAGAGTGAAACTCCATCTCAAAAAAAAAAAAAAAATTACCTATAAATAAACTTTTTTCTTAAATTTGGATTTTAATAACTTTATACCAAAAACAAAGTATTGTAAATGACTCATTAGAACTGTACGTATTGGCATTCTCTGTCCCTCTCTTAGTTCAGTTCCAGCCCCACAGCTGTTGGGCTCTTTCTTAGGTACCAAGTGGACATGATGTCCAATTGATGGGCCATATTCACCCTAGAAGATGAGTTTTGGTCAAGATGGGAGGCTGAGAGGAAGGATAAGAATATGAGATGCAAACTCAGGAAATGTATCCAGAATTGAGGCAAAAAAAAAAAAAAAAGAAACAGGATCAAGTCATTCAGTTGGTACCCAAGGCCAAGTATTCCTCCAGGCACCTGTACCTTGGGAAAGAGGGACCAGAGAAACCAGGAACTCAGGAGATCTGGGAAGGAGCTCAAGCTAGGAGCTTGACTTTTCTAAGGGCAGTCTAACCAAGGAGGAGCATAGACTGAGAGAGGTGGAGAGAACAGCACTTTCAGTGTTCTAAGTGGGCTGTAAATCTTTTTGACTGTTGATATTTATTTATTTATTTATTTATACATTATACACACACTATTACTAACATCTTAGTTCAATGACTAATAAAGTTCATTGTTACTGATAATTGCAATTTTTTCAAAGAGTTTAAAAATAATTTTAAATTACTTTGGCTAGCTTCTTTCCAGACTTGATTATATTGTTACTGTTTTTAAATAAAGATGGGGCTGATAGAGATTCTGCTGTTTTCTTCTTTGGTATTGTGTGTGCATTGTTGGTATTACCTTTAATTTGCCTTTTAAAGCCATTGTGTGAGAGTTAATTTAGTAATCCATAAATGCACTTAATTGGGCACGCATAGGTGGAAATACATTACCATATACTGAAACTCAGTGAAAATCTAAGAGATCTTATTTACTCTTTCTATTTGAAAACATCTCCTCTTCCCTCTGGTTTCTTTGAATATCATGTGGAACATATATCTTTTCCTAACATTCATAGGATAAACAATCACAATGTAATCCTTTTGTATTTTTCTGAACTGATAATGGAAGAAGTTGGGAGAAGTTAAGAATGCACTACTTAGCCGGGCGCGGTGGCTCAAGCCTGTAATCCCAGCACTGTGGGAGGCCGAGGCGGGTGGATCACGAGGTCAAGAGATCGAGACCATCCTGGTCAACATGGTGAAACCCCGTCTCTACTAAAAATACAAAAAGTCAGCTGGGCATGGTGGTACATGCCTGTAATCCCAGCGACTCAGGAGGCTGAGGCAGGAGAATTGCCTGAACCCGGGAGGCGGAGGTTGCGGTGAGCCGAGATCGTGCCATTGCACTCCAGCCTGGGTAACAAGAGCGAAACTCCGTCTCAAAAAAAAAAAAAAAAAAAAAAGAATGTACTACTTTGTTTCTTATAATAAAGAAAAGAGACTGATGTATAGAGCTGCAGAGAAGAGGAGAAAGTGGAGGTTAAAGAGATGTGGGCAATTACTGGGGGGGCAAGTTTTGGGATAAAGATATGAATACAGGATCTTTTGAGGAAGTTTTACTGTTTGAAATTGGAGTAGCCTATTCTCCATATCTTTTATTCTGATTATGTCTTTTTTGACTAAATAAAAATGCTGCATTCTTTTAAATTCTCAATGACAAAGTGCAACAGTATACACTAAAAATGTCTTTTCTTGCTTCCTCCTTATCTAAATCTTGCCATGCTTACGTTCTGCCTTTTCTAAGTAACTTATACCAGACTTCAGACTGTATTTTCTAGAAATGCCAGAAACAATATCACCCATCTTAAATGCTTCCCCCCACTTCTTGAATGCTTTTTTATACAGTGACCTTGGCACTCTTTCCTTCACTGAATAGGCTATACAGATGCAGATAAGTACCTGATAGGATCACTAGCCATTAGCAAAGTGCAAATGAAAAATACAATGAGATACTCTTAAGATAGTTATTATAACAGCTAAAATTTAAAAATTACGATACCACCAAATACTGGTGACAATGCATGGAAATTGGATATCTCATACATTGCTGATGGGAACATAAAATGGTACAGCTACTGTGGAAAATGGTTTGGCAGTTTCTTAAACTACTGAACACACTTTGGAGTTTGAGACCAGTCTGGCCAAATGGTGAAACCCCATCTCTACTAAAAATACAAAAATTACTCAGGTGTGGTGGTGCACACCTGTAATCCCAGCTACTTAGGAGGCAGGATAATTCCTTGAGCCTGGGTGACAGAGAAAAACTCCATTTTGGAAAAACAAAACAAAACTAAACTAAAGATAATATATAATCCAGCAATTGTACCCCTTGGTATTTGGCCAAAGGAGTTGAAAACTTGTGTTCGTACAAAAATCTTTATACAGCTGTTCATGGTAGCCTAATTTCTAATAGCTCCGAACCAGAAACATTAAAATGTTCTACAGTAAGCCAATAATCATGTGAGCAGTGAATACTACAGGGAATACTACTTAATAAAAAGGAATGGACTGTTGATACACAGAATTATTTAGGTGGCTCTCATTATGCTAAGTGAAAAACAATCTCAAAAGGTCACATATTATATAATTTTGTTTATATAATGTTCTGGAAATTACAATATTATAGAGGGGGAAAACAAATTAGTGTTTGTCAGAGGTTTGGGATGGGAGGTGGTGTGATTGTAAAGGGGTAGCATGAGGGAGATCTTTTTGGTGATAGTTTTGTATCTTAATTTCAGTGGTAGTGAGTGATAAAATGGCACAGAAAAATGACAATGTCAAATTCTTGGTTTTAAATAACTATAAGTACTAGGAAGTATCTATTGGGAAAGCTAGCAGGTACATGAAACCTTCCTGTACTATCATCTTTGCAACTTTGTGTGAATCTATAATTATTTCCACATAAAAAGTTAAAAAAAATATAAGGGATTAAATTTAGATTAGACCCTCATCAGCTTTTGTCTCCACTCCTTCCCTGCTCCTGGAAAAAGCTGCAGAGGGGCATGGGCAGGGCCCACAAAGAATATATTATAATTTCTCTTGTGAGTTTTTCTTGGACCCCAGTATTATGTAGAATTGTGTTATTTAATTTCCAGATATTTATAGATTTTCTAGATATCTTATTATGATTAATTTCTATTTTAATTTCATTGTATAACATCTTAAACTTTTTAACTTCATTGATAATGTATAGCTTATATACATGTCTAGCATACATGTATAGCTTTTATATATATGAGTATTCTACCTTAGTGAATTTACTATGTACATTTGAATAGAAGGCACATTCTGCAGTTGTTGGCTGTTTTATAAATATAAATCAGGTAAAGACTATTAATCATTTATTTCCTTGTTGACTTTTTTTTTGCCTAATTATCAGTTAATGAGAGAGAGCTATTACAATCTCTAATATTATTTGTATATTTGCTTATTAATATTCCTTCCTTTATTTCTATTAATATTTGCCTAATGAATTTTGAAGTTTTTCTTAAGTACATACATATTTATTTTATTTTTTGAGACAAGGCATCTTCAGTGAGGATATGTATTAAAAAATAAAATAAAATAAAAAGAAAGGAGACAAGACCTCACTCTGTTGCCCAAGCTGGAGTGCAGTAACATTTTCATAGTTCACTGTAACCTCAAATTCCTGGGCGTTAGTGATCCTCCTGAGTAACTATGACTACAGGTATTTGCCACCATGCCCGGCTAATTATAAATTTTTGTAGAGATGTGGTCTCACTGTGTTGCCCAGGCTGCTCTTGAACACGTTGGCTCAAGTAATTCTCTCATCTTACCCTCCCAAAGTGCTGGTATCACAGGCATGAGCTACCATGTCCAGTCTACATAGATATTTAGATTGTCAGGTCTTCCTAATGAATTGTTCTTTTTATCATTATGAAATTTCCTGGTTTATTCTTTGTAATGGTCTTTATCTTGAGTCCTACTTTGTTTGATATTAGTATAGTCATACCACTTCCCATTTTCATGATGTGTATTTTTCCAATCTTTTGATTTCAGTCACTTTGTGTCATTATATTTTTTATCTCTGCTCTTCACAGTGTGTAATTTCTATTGATCTGTCTTCACATTCACTGACTCTTTCAGTTGCTATCTCCAATATGCTATTACACTCATTTACTGAATTTTTCATTTCAGTTATTGTATAGTTTTCAGTTTAGGGCCTGCATGTAATTCATTTTTAGAAAATAATAGCCTTACAGGAAATATATAAAATATAATAGAATTCAGTTATTTACCATGTACAATTCAATGACTTTAGTATATTTACAGATATGTATAAGCACTACCACATTCATTTTTAGAACATTTCCATACCTCAGAAAGAAAGCTTTAGTTGTTACCCCTAGTCCTTTCCCCCAATCCCTAAGCAACACTAATCTACTTTCCCTCTCTATAGATTTACCTATTCTGGATACTTCATACAAATTGAATCATATAATATGTAATCTTTTGTGTCTGACTTTTTTTCACTTAGCAAAATGTTTTCAAGGTTCATTGATATAGTATGTATCTGAACTTCATTCTTTTATATTGTCAAATAATATTTAATTAGATATGCCACATTTCTTTATCCATTTGTCTTGTTGATGGACATTGGGTTGTTTCCATCCTTAACTATAATAAATAATGCTGCTATAAACATTTGCATTCAAGTTTTTGTGTGGACATGTATTTTTATTTCTCCAAGATAGATACCTGGGAGTGAAATTTATTAGGTTATATGGTAACTCCATGTTTAACTGATCAAGTAACTGCTAGATGTTTTCCAAAGTGGCTATACCATTTTACATTTCCACCAGTAGTGTATATAAATTCCAATTTCTCCAGTTGTTATTATCTGACATTTTTACTTTAGCCATCCTAGTGAGCATGAAGAAGTATCTCATTGTGGTTTTGATTTGCATTTCCGTGATGGCTAATGATGTGGAGTAACTTTTCATGTATATATTGACCATTTGATTTAGATGTGCTATTTTAAATATTTTGATTTTCTTGACTATAGGCCACATTTTCTTATTTGTTCCTTGACTCAGGGTCTTAAAAGACAAAACTTAAGGTATTGGCTGATCTGTGTTGTCATCTAGAACTCTGGGTCCTCTTCCAAGTTCATGTGATTGTGACAGAATTCAGTTCCCTGTGGTTGTATGACTAAGATCCCCATTTCCTTGCTGCCTGTCAATTAGTGGCCACTCTCAGCTCCCAGAGGCCACCTGCATTTCTTGCCACATAGCCCTCTCCATTTTGAAGCTAGAATGGGGAACATTTTATGCATTAGATCTCCCTCATGCTTTTACTCTCTGGCTTCTTCTGGCCCACCTGAATAACCTCCTTATCTACAGTCAACTGATTTAGGATATCTACAAAATTCCTTTCCAGGAGTACCTAGGATTTGTGTTTGACTGAATAACTGGACAAAGGTGTATGTAAACTAGGAACTGGAAATGATAGGGTCATCTTCAAATTCTGCTTATGACAATCAGTGTTGCTCTACCAGCTTTTTATTTTGTTAGTGACAGCCTAGTGTATTTTTTTCTATAATAGTATGTTTTCTGTACTCTCAGGTTTAAATGTCTTCTTAACAACAGATTAACAGCTGGATTTAAGAAAGTAACAATTTTGGAATCTCCAGTGTGTATCTGGTGAATTTACCTCACTTAGTGATTACTGACATATTTAGAATTATTTTTTTTTATCATTTTTTGTGCTTCCATTTACTCTTTTTTTTTTTTTTTCTCTTTACCACTTCTCTCCCCTTCTACTGGTTTGGTAGTTATATATTCTGTCAGTGGCTTTTGTAAAATTAATGATTTTATTAACCAGTCTAAAGTTAATCAGTATATTTGTCCTCCAGACAAATAAGACAGGAACCTTAAAATTATGTTAATTCTAATTATCTCACTTTATTCTTAGAGAAAAAAATGGATTGCTTATACATTAATGATAGTCTGCTAACAGATTTCTCATCAGCATCAGCAGAATACAGCAAAGAAATATCATCTAAGAGTTGAGGTAAATGAACTGTTGGTTAAAAGTCAATAACCAATGAAAATATCATTCAAGGGCAAAACTCACAGATTCTTCCCAAGGGAACACTAATGATATACTTCAGTCACAGGAAAACAATATGGAAGAGTGGGATGTAAGTAACAATGTTTATCAAAGAGACTGGTAAATATACTGATACATTTTTATAAACATGAACTAAAAAAGTAATACTAAGAATAATTCTTTAGGATAGTTAGTTTCTCATTTGCTTTACAGATGGAGAAAAGAAGAGTGGAGAAGCTAAGTATCAAACTTGTGTGAGGCACACAGCTAAAGACTACAGCTAGGAGAATGTCCTCTTGCTCAGAAATGGCATGGGACTCAAAAAGCAATTCTAACTATCTGCATTTATTCTTTTAGCTCATGGGTGACCGAGAGAGTGCTAATGTCTATGAGTTCTAGAATGTATAAGAAAAATTTACTCAGGCACTATCCTTCAAATTAAAGAGAACATGGAACAACAAGAGCCTATAAATTATAATAATTTATCTTATTTGAAATCCCAGTTATGCAGCGTGATTTTTAGTTACTAGCATAATTACAGAAACTTTAAGAAATTTTGAATAACTGGTGGTGATATGACCATGTTCAGAAACCAAAGGTCAAAAGAGAAGCCAAACTGAATAAACAAAATTGTTTTAGTAAATAGCAAAATGTAGAGTTCCTCTGTATTTGGAGGTAAATTCTAAACAATAAAACACATGTGATGTTTTGTTTTTTAAAAAGATCACCTGATTTTGTTCTTAAACCAGGCTTACAAGCTACAATATAATCTTTTTAAATTATAGGCAATTACAAAAAGGCACATTAAACTTCAGCTAATCACAGTTGTTTCAAAAATATGTCCCTTCTCTTAACAAAGCAGTAACCCAGCCAAAACTTGGATAAACTGGCATTTCCTTAGATCACATGTTTCATTCCTAAACACAATGCCCCTTGTGTTTCTTTCAGGTGTCCATACTTTCTCTGAAAAATAGATCTCCCCTTCCAAAGCTTGAGCATTATCTGCTCTTTGTTTGAAAATAAATGCATTGTTCATGTGTGGACTAGTAACGCAGGTGTTTTACCTCTTTTTTCCCAGTCAGGCTGATTCTTAAGCCTTTTATGAAATCAGTTCAGTTTAGTCAAATCTCTGACATCCACTTTTTATTGCCATTTCCCTTTATGGCTAAAATACAAGCCCTAAATACAACAAGATCATCTTTTATTCCATTATGTTTACCTTTTTCTTCTACAGCAGTTATCTTAGAAGATGTTTACATTTTTAGTTAATATCTCAAGTGTTGCCAACATTCTGCTTTCTTCTCACTTCTTGAAGACTAACTCTGGGGCAAGGCCAAAGTTCAGATCAAGTATTAATAGTTCAAGTTGCTTTCATTTTTCCTAAACTCCTTAAGGTACCCAGATTTGCTCCTGTCGCTGGAAAGCACTATCTGAAAGCTTTGCATGAAATTAAACTCTCTGGGTGTAACCAAACTGAATAAAGCCATAGAAGCATGTATTGAAGCAACTCTCCCTGAGTGAGGCATGAGAAACACTGACATTCTTAACACAGCAAGCATTGGTGTTGGGTGTCAGGTAACTGATTCTGTCTTCTGAAATACAGAGTTTCAACCCCTCATTTTATTTCCAAACAAACACTTTTATGTTACTCTCTAGAGAATGAAGAGGTTCTGATCTCAGAGCATGAGGCATGCTATAGCTGAGAAGGGAAAAAGGGGAGCAGAATTACTTGAAGACTTCATCTCTTCAATGCAGAGGATAGTAATTGATATTACTTACCAAAGTATCTCTTTTCTAGCTATGTAACATGAAGTTTCAAGCAATTTTTGTCCTTCATGTCTTAATTGCGTATATAATCCCCCTTTTCCTGTCATTTACTATACTAAAGTATACTTCAGTAAAATACAGTACGTATTTTAGGTTTTTATCATTTTTTTCATGTCTAAGAGGTTTAGCAATTTCATCTTTTATTATAAATGTTAGAAGATTTATATGAAAATAGTAAATAATCATTAAATAGTCTAGCTTCTTTTTCTAATTACAGTGTTTTTCTTAATATCAATGTATTGAATGCTTTGTTGATTAAAAGGGAGAATGTAACACATCCATAGTGTATATTATTGCTTCTTTGTCAAATTTGCCAAATGTAACTAATGTGAACTTATTCATAAAACACACTATGCTGTTATGAGTGGCTGCAGAGTTCCTTTACAATGTTGCAGCTTCATTTTAAAAACAAGTGCACATTTCTTCAGTTGTCTGAAAAGCATTTTGTAGGAATTAGAAATCAGTTTTGAAGTGAATTTTACTCTATATTTTAAGGTTGATAATTCAGAATAATTTAAACCAAAGTTGGGTGTTTATATTTTACACTGGCAATACTCTGTAACACTGGGTGCTATAGTTCATGTGGACAATAAGATGGAACTCAGCATTATGTGAAGATATTAAGGAGATTTTACTTACAAGGAGGTACATGACCCTGGCCTCGAGGAAAGTGTTAATCAAGACATTTGAGTGTTTAGAGATTGTGATATCAATGGCTGAAGTAAATTTGTAAAGCATAAATATAATATGGAACCTCCACTCAAGCATAATCTCAGCTTTCTTCAGTTATTCTTAAGCACAGGGTCACTTATTTATTTATGCTTGAGTCAGCTGATTTAAAAACTCTTATTTCATATCCCCTTGGGACAGCTAAAGAAAGCTTTTTTCACTACATGTGTGGGAAACAGCACTCTGAAATCCCTTGCTTGAAATGGAGAAACAAAAACCCTCTGTATTTCCAGCATTTTGAAGTTCAAATTTGTAAACACAATGTATCCAAAGTTTCTAAAGTTTTACTGAAGCGGTAAATTCACTAGGTAAATTGATTTAACAATTTTTTTTTTCAATTTTAACTTTATTGAGGAATAATGTATGCATAATAAACTGCATGTGTTTAAAGTGTACAGTTCGATGAGTTCTGACAAATTGTATGTGCTTCTCCACAATCAGAATATAGAACATAGCCATCACCCCACAAAGATTCCTTGTGCTCCTTTGAAGTTCCTCCCTCTTTCTATACTCTGTTCTCAACTTCCATGGATCTGCTTTTTAAATTTTTATTGTGTTTTATTTTTAGAGACAGAGTCTTGCCCTATCACCCAGGCTGGAGTGCAGTGGCATTGGAGTGTAGTGGCATGATCATAGCTCGCTATAATCTCAAACCCTTCAATGCAGAGGATAGTAATTGATATTACTTACCAGTCTCAATCTCTTCAATGCAGAGGATAGTAATTGATATTACTTACCAGAGTATCTCTTTTCTAGCTATGTGGGCTTAAGTGATCCTCCTGCCTCACCCTCTGGAGTAGCTAGGACTATAGGCACATGCCACTATGCCTGGCTAATTTAAATTTTTATTTAAGAGATAGGGTCTTGCTATGTTGTCCAGGCTAGTCTGAAACTTCTGGCTTGAAGGGATCCTCCCACCTCAGCCTGATCTCCATTTTATTTGTGCTTTATAAAAATGGAATTATACAATATTTACTATTTTGTGCCTGGTTCCTTAATTTCGCATAGTGATTTTAAGACTCATCCATATATTGTTACACATAACAATATTTCTTTCCTTTATGTTGCTGAGTAGTATTCCATTGTATAGATATACCTACATTTTGCTTATCCATTCACCCATTGATGGGCATTTGGGTCATTTCCAGTTTGAGGTTCATTCAACACATACTTATTGACAACTATTACTGTACAGGAAAATGTTCTAAAGAAAAATGGGAGACCATAGTAAGTAAAATAGTCAAAATTATGGCCAAAATGGAGATAACTGGAGGGGATGGATATTATATAAACAAATATAAAGTATGCCTGATGAGAAAAATAAAGCAGGATAAGAGAGAAAGGAAGTCCAGGATTGGGGCAGATTCTGTTTTCTACAGGATGATCAGGGAAGGCCTCACCGATGAGATAACCTTTGTGCAAAGACCTGAAAGAAGAAAATGAGTGATCCATGTAGACATCTGGGTGAAGAGAACTGAGACTTAAGTGTCTAAAAGTCAAGCTTAAAGAAAAGTCTTTTTGCCTCACTTTAGCATTCATGGTTCTAAGAGTTATTTTTGGTTCAATGGTAGGTATTTTTACAACTACTTTTGACATTAGTTTTAGCCTGCTGGGAAGACAGTGATCCGCTGCCTGCTGCTGCTGCCGCCACACCCAGGGTCTCCTCTATGGTGGAAGAGCCCTGAACACTTGCAAAGTTCCTTTGAGGAGACTGAATCATTCAAATGCTTGTATAGTATTTATCTTAAAGATTTTAGGAATCTTTCAGCTCCCCAGAGGAGACTGTCAGACTCTGACTTTGTCAAGTGGGGAAGCTGACACTTTGCCTTAATAACCTCATTTGTTATAGTGTCTATTGCTGGACTTATACTAAAAAGGTAAAGATGACTATCCCCAGGGGTGTTAGAGGGTTCCCTGGGGGCAGAAGGAAATTCCCTTGGAAAACTATCTAAGTTATGTTCCTCTTTCTAAACTGGTACCTGAGCCACTATGTGGATAGTGGAAATACTAGACTATTGAGAGATTCTTAAGAGCTACCTTTAGTAAATAATTTTTTTAAAGCATTATCTGTCCCAGCTCTGCCCAATACTGCAGGTATTGAAAGACTTTCAGTATGCCCAATCTCTTCATCTTTGAAAGCAAACTCTGACAGCATATAACCTAAATCTAGAATAGATCCTAGTGTACCTATGAGTCTCTTTGGGTTGTAACCTTTTCCATAACATTTAACCATCTTTTACCTTGGCTTCCTGAATGTTATCAGCCTCACCAAGAGTAGATCCCAGCATTAACCCAATGCTAGTACTTCTTACTTTTTATTTGATCTTTTATATATATCATTATGGATTCGTGTATTTTTTTTTATAATTTGGGATTATAATCCAATGCTATGTTATTTATTTTGTTGCTCAGATTGTTGACAGTTTTGGTTATTACTTCTTTCAGGTTGGCTCTTGTGATTCTTTGACATGTTTCCATCATTTTATTTTTTAAGCAGTTTCCTACTTTCTGTTATAAGATATTTCAGGCTTATTTTTATTTTCCCTGCCCCAGTCCTAGAATCAGCCAGTTTCCCAAGAATCTCTGGTTCCTTTGATTGGAAAACAGTATTTAGAAGCCAAGATGTGAGTACTGGGTTTGTGCTTTGCTGCTGGGGTGTGATTGCTTCCAGGCTGTCTGAGTCAACAGGGCTAGGTAATATATGTATGTATACTAACTCATGTATACACACATATCTATAAGTAGTGTCTGTCTGTCTATCTATTAAACTAACCATGAGTTCATGCTGGTGTCTCCAACTCTAGTCCAGCACCACAGGGTGTATTTTATCTTCCCTTCTTGTTTATTTGCAATTTTAATCTCTTACAGTGAGAAACTTGGCTCCCACAACCTTCCATTTGTTTAT